GGCTGGGCTGCAGTTTCAACCTCAAGAGGATTTGAACCTAAACTGTCGTGATCGTCTTATTTTAGCAGATTTTATTGCTTCTTCCTCTCCTATCGGGTTGCTTAAGCAATGCGCATAGTCTTCACTAATTCTGCTTTCTTCCAGTCTCCTGTCCATTAAATTTCTTTCCATCGGGCTTAGGATGGCTTCTTACATCTTTTGTTTTCTCGTATTTTCTCCACATGACGTCAGTATCTACTTTCCCCTTTTCAGTGGAATTTGTGTCTCGTCCGTGCAATTTTTTCCGCTATTTGGGATATTTTCGTTTCCATATTTCTGCAGAGTCTTTGATGTTACTTGATTTTTAGACTGATCTTTCTTCTTGTTTCAACAATCCACCCGAATATTGCATTGCCATAGTAACACCAGCAATTTTGACCCAGTTTACAGGAGGACGGAAATATCCCATTTTGGTCGTTTTCCTTATTCCTCATATTATTTTCATCATATTCAAGCTGATATATGCTTCTTCCCAACACTATATTGCTTTATATGACTTCTCTGGTTCACCCGTTGCTAAGGCAAATTCGAGTCAGTTTGTGTTCAACCCTTCGTCCCAGAACTCCAATTCCGTTAGGCATGAAGACCAAGATGGTGTCGCCTTTTGTGTGGTCGCAGTGACGATGCCGACTACGATGCCGGCGAAACGTCTGGGAATGTACCACGTCCACGGTCCTACTCTGGAAACGATCATGCACACAATAAACTCCGGACTAGCTGCGTTCCTCTAAGTCTTCCTACCAACATGACCAAGTTGCGAAAACAAGGTCAAACAACTTCTAAACAACTTCTATCCAATTCCGTTAGTCTCAATATTCTGATGATCCGACTGTTCATTATTCCTATCAATAGTCTGTGGTTGGGATGAATTTGTAAATTGCATGTGATTTTTTCCTAAGCTAGCCGTTCATTCTCCTCCACCTGCATTGTGAATTTGGTTCCTTCGTCAAGAGTCTTAGCTTCATAAAATCCAGGAATTTGTCTTAATTTTTCTTACAATATTGCAAATTTTGCAAATTTTCGATGCATCATGCATTTAGCAAAAGCGGCCTATACAGCACTATTATTAGTCCCCAAAACCTAATTAAAAAACCAAAAATTACAAAATGAATTCTAATGCGAAAGCAGGCCTTATCTTCACTCCATTTTGCGAAAGGTTATCGCCAATGGAAGTAGGAAGTCAGTCGAAATTCGTATACATTTTGAGCAGTCGCGAAACAAAAAGTTATATTCATTATAACCCTAGTAGTATGTTCAGCTTAATGGAAAATACACATTTGTATATATTATGACATTTCATTCAAGATGAAGTGAGAAGAGAAGGACCCGCGCTATTTTAAAGTCCTACTTATCGTCTAATTCAACTGGTCATCCACATTCGGTCAACTGTAAATAGGCCATAATAACGAGGGCGTATGATTGTTGCCAAAAAAATCTTTTTCTGACGCCATTTTGAGATACAAGCAGAAGTGATTCTCAATGCCTCTCTTATCTTCATTTATTTTTCGAAGTAAGTATTGTTTTTCGTGACTACCAGTGAATCATTTATAAAATGTATTCACCCAATTTCGTTTAAGGTGATGAAGGACTGGTAGAAG